ATATAGAATGAAATTGTGTTTTTTATATATATATGTCTATTATTTCACATAACAACCAGTTTTATGTGTGTATACACAGATGTACACACACACATATATATAAATATATACACAGATAAAACTGCTGGTTGTCTTACTATATTTATAAGAAGATATTTCAAAGATAAAACTTTAACTCATTTGATTCTTAACCTTAAGGCAAAATATGAATAATCATGTGTATCACAATTCTAACTGTTACAGGAAGAGTTAATGCTATGTCTGGCTAAATATTTTCAGCTAGTAAAAGTCATATATGGCATTGATATATTGAGTTGTTACATAAGTGAAATAATTTTGTTTAATTGATTTCCAGGTTGCTACTGGACCAGAAACAATATGAAAATGTAATGGTGTGGCTATTTAGGAACTAAGAGTATAGATAACATCTTTTGGAACTATAAACACAGTATTTCTTAACCAAATTCCTGAATACAGTGATACAAAAATCTTTGGATTATTTTTGTTAAAGAATGAAAAAAAAAATTGTGACCTACAAATGTTTATATCTTACGTGATTATAGAGTATTTCCAAAATTTTGGGAGAAGCAAATTTTTCCAGTCAGTTTGTTTATAATTAATGATGATATGATCATGATGATTACCCATATTGTCCAAAATAAACTTTCTTGAAAATTTACTGTTATTCTTTTTTATTCACTGTGAAAAACCTGATCAATTTTTCTTTTCTCATTTCCTCTTTGTATTTTACCTAGCTTCTGCCTTTTCCTCCGGTGATACTCCTATGCTCCCCCTTAATAAACAAAATTTGAATTTATATATATAACTAGAAAATGTTTGGTGTTACTGTAGGGCTTTGTTCCCTTTCAACTCTTTATTGACATTATAATTTCCTCTGCTTGTTGAATTTATTGACATTTTATTTTTGGTCCTAGGGCTACCGAAAAGAGAAGAGACACATATAAAACCACCAGTTTAGCATTTCTAATTGTTGAAAAACATACTCTTTGTGGCTTATAATTTATCAAATTCCTAATGTTTCAAACTAAATTCCTCAGATAATCCTGTTATATTCATTCCATCCTTTCCATTTACTCTAATAGTTTCTTTCCACCTCTAGATTTAATTTTTATCAACATAGGTTGGTAACCACATTCTGCCAGACTGATCTTAACAAAGCAGATTTTACTCCTTTATAAGAACCGTCACTGGATTCCAGTTTCTTCTACAAAATGTCTACTTGTGGCAGTAAGTGCCATTTATTTGGGAATAATTGCCACCTAACAGAGAATCTCAACTTGCCTCTCCAACCTTATCTTCAATTATCTTCTTAAAGCTAAAGAACATTTTTATTGTTTAATTTTTATCTAGATTTGGTCAAATTTAGTGTTTTTAATCATTGCCTTTTTTCAGGCATGTATTATATGATTTTTGCTGTGCCTCATCTCTTAATTATTGAATTTCAATGTGAATGAAATAAGGCCTTAGCCTGATGTGTATTTACATTTTGACTGATTGCTATCAAATATGAATAGACATTTTCATTTCATATTTCTATTATGTCAAATAGTGACAAGACATATTTTTGGGAAAATGGATTTATTTCACATTCACAGTTTATTAACGTATCTATTTTAAGGCCAAACCTTCTTGGAAAACACCTAACTAGAAGTGGTATCTCCCTCTTCTGCATTGCAACACAGTATCTCCATCTCTTTGTTTTTACTGCATATTTTACTTATTTTCAACCATGCATTATTTCTTCTACTTGAATGCTGGTTCCTTGATGAAATAACCTTTGCATATATACTTTCCAACTAATAGATATAAACCAAATAGATACATACAGAATAGATATATGAATGAATTATTTAGTCATAATTTGACGTAATAGAAATATTAGCTCCAAATTAATTTTGGTGACAATTAGTCAGAGTGTAAGTTCAAAAGACTGGCTGCCTTCTTTCCTTCCCAATGAAAATTAGTCATGCACCCAAGAGACTGAGTATAGCAACATTACGTTAAAAATAATTGCAAAATAGCGATTACTTAAAATGCTAGGTTTAACTGAACATGGATGGCTATTTAAGCAAAACATTGATTTGAAATAGTCAATGAGGCTCTCAGGATAAGATCTTTTATCTCTCAGATTTACACTATTGCCTTCTGTTTGCATTACAAACGTTAGTAGTTTAGTGGTTATCACCACTTTATAGGTTTACTAAGCATTACTTTAAATTGGGACAATGAAATATTTTATGTGACAAAATAGATTGCATAGATGATACCTTTTATCCTGATACCTCAATTTCATATTATAGGAAAATAATGAGTATACTACCTTGAAATTATCACTATGTTTTATTTTCTCAACACATTTTTCTTGTACCTAAAGCCATGTACCATTGTGGCCTCATATGCTGTAAAGTAGCAAGAGATGGCAATTTTGTAAGAATAATTTGTCCCTGTCCCCAAAACTCAGATAAAATAGTCACACTTTTTTAAATGACAAAAATTTCCAATGGAATGAAACCTGTATTTCTGGTATATTAAAATTTTCTAACTTATTTATATTAGAACATGGCCTATGGAGATGCTTAATACACACCTGTATTTCATTTTTAGAATCCATATGGCAAAACTGCACAGAAATGCAGCCATTTGTATCTGTTTTTGTGTTTTAAAAGGTCAGGCTCTGGGACTGGGCATGGTGGCTCATGCCTGTAATCCCAGCACTTTGGGAGGCCAAGGCGGGTGGATCATGAGGTCCGGAGATCTAGATCATCCTGGCTAACATGGTGAAACCCCATCTCTACGAAAAATACAAAAAATAGCTGGGTGTGGTGGCGTGCACCTGTAATCCCAGCTACTCAGGAGGCTGAGGCAGGAGAATTGCTTGAACCTGGGCGACAGAGACTGCAGTGAGCCGAGATCACGCCACTGCACTCCAGCCTGGTGACAAAGCGAGGCTCCATCTCAAAAAAATAAAAATAAAAAACTCAGGCTCTGAATGAAAATCTCTTAAGATGTGTCTCAACCAAGTAATTGTTTTTAAAACTACGTTATCAATGAAGATTGATTTTCTGTAGGTATTACGGAAGTTCTTCCTTCAGGGACTGTTCAACACAAGAGCTAGAACTTTTAGAATTTGACATAATGAATCAAATCTTCTTTCCTATGACTTTTATATAAAGACATTAATTAAAGAAGGCACACAATTCACTTCAGAGCTCCTTAGACATGAAATTAACAAGAGAACTGATATTGAGTGATTATATACACAAAAAACAAATGAGTACATATATATCCTAATATTTTATTGGCAGCATTTTACCACATTTACAGAATTGACTTTTGTCTTTACTCTTTTAGATCAGCAAATAAGAATTATAATGGCTTACATATTGCAAAATAATCATAGTTATTAAGCAACATCGTTAGTTTCTAAAGTAATTGGATCCTGAAATAAGAAATGAAACTTAGATATCTGATAGTATTCTAGAGCAATAAGTGATTTTTTTATCCAAAGAATTTAAGATAAGCAACTGGAAAGAGTGAGCCAGCATGAAAAGCAATTTGAAATTGAACTTCTCAGAGTACAGTGTAATACATGAAAGCAATAATATTTGTATGACACTTTAACCCTGTGCCTTATAGAATGGGTACACATTCAATGGTGACAATTAGAACTACATACATAGCCTTTACGTTTAAACAATAGAATAGATATAATGTAAGAAAAAATATAACACACACCAATCAGGGAGGAACTCTTTCATAGTATTATTTTAACATAATCTGTCTCCTAGGTGATCATTTGTTCTGTATTCTTATCGGAGAGTAGTTTTTAGTATTTAGTTTGCAAAAATTCTTAACCAATTTATCAAAAAGGCAGGTCTTTCTGTTTCCTCTCCCAGGATTCTGCTAAAATGGTTTTGGTGTACTTCCTAGGAATTTGTATGTCTAAAGACCCTATCAGTTGATTTAGTGCAGGTGACCATGGCTTAGACATTGAAGAGCAGAGATATAAGAAAATGTTTGACCAGGAGCAGTGGCTAACACCTGTAATCCCAGCATTTTGGGAGGCCAAGGTGGGTGGATCACCTGAGGTCAGGAGTTCAAGACCAGCTTGACCAACATGGAGAAACCCCATCTGTACTAAAAATAAAACATTAGCTGGCCGTGGGTGGCACATGCCTGAATCCCAGGTACTCAGGAGGTTGAGGCAGGAGAATCACTTGAACCCAGGAGGCGGAGGTTGCAGTAAGCAGAGATTGCACCATTGCACCCCAGCCTGGCAAAAAGAAAAAAAAGAAGAAAGAAAATGTTTTAGTCAGCAAATCAGAACACTCAGGGAAAAAGATACCAAACGATTAAGCCTTGGAGTGCCTCTTGTTCAATGGCATGAGGAAATGTGATAAGTATTAAGAATGAAATTATGTTCATAATCTGGAAGCAGATAGCAAATTATGCACAAGTGATTCTTGAAAACTATCTATACCTATAAAACTCTACTCTGAAAGGTAGAACTATATTTGGCCCAAGTCAAGAGATAGGAGATAATAGGCTAAATCCTAAAAGAACTTTTGATTAATTTGTTATTATGAAATGTAATAGTCTTTGAATAAATTTTGGATGAAAATGCTAATTTTGAAGAAACCAGGCCTTAAAATAATTTTATTTGGAACAAATGCAGATTTTCTTTCTTCCTGAAAATGAATGTTTCTCTGGGTCCACATTTAATGCAATTATTTCTTTTTCTTTTTCTCATTTAATGAAGATAGTGAATTGCTAGTCTCTAGAAATTCTATACATTTTTAGAGTTCAAATAGCCTTTTTGTAATGTTTTAAAAATTTACTGTGTCATTGATTTGGAAAACAGTGACCCACCTTCTCCATATACAAAAACATAGGAATTACCAAATTTTCACTTGGGTAAAATGACAGAAACAGATACATTATAATACATTTAATCTGTTCATTGCTATTTTTTTTCACAGATTCAAGAATGGCTCTGTTTAAATTGCCAAACCCAGAGAGCAATATCAGGACAGCTTGGAGACATAGGCAAAATGCCACCTGTGCCATCAGGACCCAAAGCATCTCCCATGCCTGTTCCTACAGAATCACCATCTCAGAAAACAGCAGTGCCTCCCCAAGTAAAATTAGTGAAAAAGCCAGAACAAGAAGTAAAAACAGAAGCTGAAAAAGTAATTCTGGAAGAAGTAAAGGAAACACTATCAATGGAAAAAATTCCTCCTATGGTAGCCACAGATCAAAAACAAGAAGAGAGTAAACTAGAGAAAGACAAAGCTTCAGCTCTTGAAGAAAAAAAGCCACTCCATGAAGGAAAAAAACTAATCTCTGAAGAAGAAAAGGTATGTTCTGAAGAAAAAAAGCAACTCCTAGAAGAAAAAAAGCCAACCCCTGAAGACAAAAAGCTACTCCCAGAGGCAAAAGCATCAGCCCCAGAAGAACAAAAACATGACTTACTTAAATCTCAAGTACAAATTGCTGAAGAAAAGCTTGAAGGCAGAGTGGCTCCAAAGACAGTGCAAGAAGAGAAACAACCGCAGACCAAGATGGAAGATTTACCATCTGGCACACCTCAGAGTTTACCTAAAGAAGATGATAAGACAACCAAAACAATAAAAGAACAGCCACAGCCATTGTGCACAGCAAAACCTGATCAGGTGGAACCTGGGAAAGAAAAAACAGTAAGTTAAATTTTACTAACTTCTCACACTCTCATGTGTGAAATTATTAATTTTTAACCTAAGTATACAAGTTGCTCATTGGTAATTATATAAGTGAAGTTCCTCAAACAATGAATGACATTCTTAAAGAAGTATAACAATTGTTTGACTATAATGAAGAACTTTGGCCTTTTCACAGCTTTATGAAGTATACATAAAGCATAAATACATTTATTTCCCTGTTTCTTATGCCTATCAAATAATCTATCAAAATCATATGGAGTGATAAAGAAGTTATCTAGTTTTTTTTTTTTTTTTCTCTACTATGGACACAAAACTCAATATCCTCCTTTAATGTAAAATAATGTGTCTTTATGTAAATTTCTGTTTACTTAGCCATTTGTTTACGTAAGAGTCAACAAGGTTTTTCCCAGTTGAAATCATTTTAAGATGTGGTCAGCTATAAAGTGATTCCAAAAAAAAGAAAAAAGGAAAAAAAGTGATGTAACTAAAATCCAAAGTAAAAGTCTTTCTAAAATTTCACAAAACAGTTGAATATTTAGCATGATTTTTAATATAATGTATTCTATTAGCAGTTTTATTCAATGTGTTTAATATTGAAAGGTTATTTATAATCAGCATAATTTGGAAAAATATTCTTTTCTTTTTCTTTAATGGAAAATTTTCATTTAACCCATTTTAACGAATATTTTCACAAGCAGTTACATCCTTTTCAGAGGAACTCTGATATTTTTTGGAGCTATAAGAGATCTTACATTATACTTCACTGAATACATTTAATTCACAGAGGACAGCAATGACTTACCAGGAAATTAAATAATTTAATAGTATTAAAATTCCAACTAGAAACTATAGTTTGTTTCACTGTGATTCAGTTGTGTTTTCTTTAGTTTTAACACATGCTTACCAACCCATCTCTGCTATCTGATGCATCACACATTATCTAAGTAAATCCTGGTATCCTTTCATTAAATGAGTTTTATCAGAGTCAAAAAGATGCCTATATGTATTCTCCATTCTAATGACTGAATCTAGCCACCACCAGCACCATGAATTGCTTCTTCTAGCTAACCTTTGCAGAGCATGGTGCTTGGTACTGTTTGTCCCTTTGTGGAACTTTCTGTGGCTTTCATGACCCTCTACTTTCCTTCTCTTTTTGTCTTTCTGATCATACTTTATGAAATCTGCTTTGACTATCTCTATGATTTCTCCTTGCAAATTCCAGATGATTTTCCCTTGTTTTGCTTTGAGCTACATGAACAATTTTTGAATACATGTATATACTTCTTGTCCCTCTTTTGGGTGTCAGACCTGCATTTTCAAGTACCTAGACAGCAGTTCTACTTCAAAGCCTCTCTGTAAATGCAAACTCAATATGTCTGACTCTTTTCCTCTTCTCTATAGAAACAGTTTCTGCTTGTAACTTTCTATTTCACCATCAAGCACCTGTCTCCTGTCTGCCAGTTACTAATCTTCTGAGTGATTTAAGGTTTCTTCTTACCTGCCCTTTGTTCTCCACAATGAAAGTATCACACTTCTGTCTATTAACTCCTGTTCCTCAGGGCACTACCTTACTTACTGCTTTCATGACCTTTTGCCAATTATTTGAGCAATCTAATTACTGGTTAGGATGCCTTCCTTTTAGCCCTTCTCCAGTCTATAGCTGTCAGGTAAATGTTTTCTAGGGTTCCCATAATTTAACTCCATCACTCAGATGTTCCTAATGATTCCCTATTGTGTTTTAAATATATTCCAAGCAAGAAGTTTTTAAATATTTCCTGAATGCAGTACTTTTTTCTTTTATTTTATACCTTTATCACTTTCTTTTTATTACTTTTTCTTTCATTATACAACCACAATATGTGTATATGTATTTATTTATAAATTTTATGTATGCACTATTTGACTAATATTTACTTTCTAAAACATTCACAAAGAATAGTGAAATAAACTAAAATTACCATTGTTATTATATTTATTTAAATGCAGATAGTAAATACAGATACATTTGATCACCTTAAAAGGTGTTTAATAGTGATACTTTAGAGAGAGCATTATGTTTTAATATTTTTTAAGATCTTGGTGTAAAACTTTATGATATAGTTGTTTGAAATCCAGCTTCAAAGTTAAGCTTATTTTGATACTTTGATGTTCAGTTTTAATGGCTATTCAGAGCAGGAAAAAAAGATAATTAAAAAGAATATGCTACAAATGGTAGAAGTAGCTCACAGTTTGTTCTCACTAAATATTGCTACCTTTTTTTAAAGTGTGGATTGTAAACCAATTATGAAAAAAAGAATTGGTAATTGCACAAATAAGTGTTAACCTTCCTTAATATCAATCATTTGTGTTTGTTAACTATCAGAAAATGCGGGGCTTTTACAATACTTTTCAGCAAACGATTTTCAAACCCATTGCATTTCTTTGTCTAGAAGGTTTTTAAACAGATTAAAATATTCTGTTTTAAAGTTTGTTACATGAGCAGATACAATAACTTTTAAAAGTGACATATGTTATTTTGTATAGCATAATCATAAAATAATTTCCAAATATTTATCTTCAAAGAGCTGTTTCCACATTATAATTTTCTCAGAGAAACAGGTATTGTTTATTTTGCTTTAAATATCAAATACCCAGCATATTGCTGACAATTAGTATTTATTTTCTTGCTGTCTAATAAGTATTGTATTACTGAAAAGCACTTGCAATCCTCTATTTTTAAGTAAGGATCAAATCTCCACATTCTGCAGCTTTTTAACTAATTTTCCATGAGATAAACAGTAAATATCTGTGTCATGGTCAAAAATAATGTCATATTCTCTGTCCCAGTACAAAATAAATGTTCTTCAAAATATGAAGTTCTTATTAGTATACAGTGTACTACATCAGTAATATCTTGAGGCAGTCTGTCTAATTCTGGCTTACTTGTAATGAATAAATGTTTTTCACATGTACTGCCATCTCCCTAACCTTATTCTTTAAAATTATAATTCCAATCAGAGAAATTACTTCTCAATTTTTAATATTTTTTATTTAAAAAATACACATTTTTTTGAATGAAACAAATCAGTCCACATTGATGCTATGTGTTCATTGGTGCATTTTTCCTTGAGGGTTCACAATAGTAATTCTTAAAATATTTTATTATTAATTAAAGAGAAATAGGAACTATTATGAACTGAGTATGTAAAGAAATCTCCATAGTTGGATTATATTATTATTAGATCTTTTGCTACTAAATTTGTTCTAATATTTTTTTCCCAAACCTTCCACAATTATTTCTTTGTTTCTTCCAACAACATTTGCTGACAAAGGAATGTAGTTTGATTTGTCACTATATTGATTCCACATATTACTTTAGTCATTTTTTCATGACAAAAAAAAAATTCCCCATCTGTTATGTAATTTTTCTTATTGAGCAAGAAAATTCAAAAGAATATTCCCAATGGTTATTATTCAAGTTAGTGAAAACTTATAAAGTACTAGAAAACTTATTTGCTGAAAATTACAGAAGTTTGTAATAGTGTCATAATACCACTGGCTTTGATTGAAAGCACGTTCTGTATTTAGGGTAAGGTTTGTTATTAGCAATAATAGATGCAGAAACAGATTTCAAATAGCTTTCCTAATAATGTCAAGCATTTTTTCCTAACTTCAAGTCAGATCTGATTTAATTTGGTGATCACTGTTCTCACCTTGTTATGAAAACTGATGAAAAGCTTGTAGCAATATGAAAACTGTTAGCTTTCTTATGAGTGCATGTGTGTATATCTTACATTACTAGTTTGATTTTTAACAAATGATTTTTTTTGCAGAAATTTTTTTCTACTACTTAGCTATTATAGGAAAATTGTTTTAGTTAAAGCTAGGTGATTTATTGTAACTACAAACCATAAACCTGCATAACTGAACAATAAGCTTCAACATAAAGGTGAGCAAGTGAAGTAGTTGCCTCACTATAACTTCTCTTTATAGTTGGTTGCCTCATTATAACTTCCGGCCTTCTCCCAGGAGTCCTCACAGACCATGTGACCAACTGACATGACATGTGAGATAATAGTATTGCCCATCTATTGATTAAATATTAGTGCAATTTAATTTATCCTCTATTTTGGATTTAAAAATGCAACTAAAATCCTAGTGTCGTCTCATTGTATTCCACTGAAGCACTTTGCATAGCTACCACGGTATATGCACCCCACAGCGGAGACTCCTGTCTAAATGACTTAGTTGGCTTTCTCAGCCTTCTGGAATCTGGCTCCAACACAACTTTCAAGCAACTGCTAACGTTCCCTATGGGGAGACATTAAAGAATAATAGCCAAATATGCCTTGTGTGTTTCCTGAACATAGCTTGTGCTTTCTCCTTTGTGAACCTGTTCTCAGTTTTTGTATGTGCACTGATGCTGCAGCTTCACATCATCTGGCAGAAAAAATCCCACCTGAACCTCCACACCACTCTGCTAGCATGTCGTCCATGAGTCTGCCCTTCTATTCCCTAGTGGTAGTCAGTTTTCCTGATGCAGAATTTTCTGCAATGATTAATTTCTTAATTAGTTTTTATTTACAATCAAAACAATACTCTTAATTTACCTCTTACTATTCAGGCTGCTGTGTTAAGTACTTCCTTATACAATGATTGATAAAGTTAATATTATGATAGCTTTAGTAAAGATGGGGAAACTGAATTTCTGTGCCCAAGATCACATAGCTGGAAGGCAGAAGTACTAGAATTATAGTCCAGCTCTGATTACAAAGACTGTGCTCTCATCCACTGCACAAGATGTTTTTTCCTATGACACTTTTAGGATACTGGCTTTCCATTATTATAATCATCCATCTCTCTTGGCAACCCTCACTGCTATACCAAACACTTGGTATAATATTTACTCTATTTATATATGTGTATTATTTATTCATTAATTTAGCTGTCGTTTGTATTGTTCATATTATTATAGTACGTTGTTTACATTTCGTTGTTGCAACATCATTTTGTCACTTCATTCATTTCTGTCTTTCAAAATGTTTGTTGAATAGCATTAAAATTAATCCTGAGGTATAACAATTTGAAAATTACATACACATCTTTAAATTTTTAGTTTAACATTTTAAAATTCATGTTTGCTGTAGAATTTTATCTTTTTACTTACATAAACAGAATACTGTTTAAATATTTATTTGATATAGTACACTAAAATACTCTCCCCATAGAAACCAAACTTGGAACACTCTTTAGCAGGTACTTTTATTTCTGGTTAAAATGATCTGAGGGTTAGTATTCAAGTTACATATAGCCAATAAGTGACTGCCTAATCAGAAAGGATGAAAACTAATCATGTTTTCTGTAGTGAGAAGGACTCCCATATTATAGTGCTTAGGTGTGAGCGTCCGATCTTTCACTCCAGGTCTAGTGAATTTTATTGGCTTCATTTTGTTTGGAGCATTTCAAACACTCAGATCAGTAATCTGCATTCATGTAGACTTTATGTAAATTATAAGATTTGCATTCATTGTTTAATTTTAGCCCATCAAAATAAATGGCTTTGGGAAAGTTAAACAAAAACTTAACACTGCATCCTTTCTTTGCACAGTTTTATATGTCATCTAGAATTCAGTTCGTTAACAATATTCAAAACAATTCTGTTTGCCTTCAATATGGAAGGCTTTTGTGAAAAGAGCAAAACCAAATTTGGCAGTGCAGGTGTGTCTTGGCACATTCTCCACTACTAGTGAAGGCCTCAAGATACACCACCATCAGAAGAGATCCAAATGGGGCTCCGTTCATCAGTGCCCCTCACTGACCGGTCTGCAGCTCAATAAATGGCAGGGGGTTATTGGAAGGAAAAGGGAAAAAGCCTAGAGAGTAAACACTTTGCAGACTTGCCACCTTATACTATGCAAAAGTCATTTAGGGGGAAAAAAAAATCATTGCAGTATCACCACCATAGGCAGCTTCACTGTTGCTTGCCACTTCAATATAAGAAAGGAACTGAAATGAGTTAAGTGCTCATCAACCCTCCTACTATAGTCTCACAACTGCAGATAAGAAATTATTTATTGGAAAGACATTCAATTGGTACAGTGTAGTTAATTCTAGGTGCACACTGAAGAGTAGGCATTACTTTTTGCACTACAGTTGTTAAGAATATATCACACTGTCTTTTTTAATTGAGTAACATTGTAAATTCAGAAAAAGCATTTTACCCTATAATATGCTCAGGATAGATCATTGACCATGCATAACAAAGGTATATATTCGGATGAAAATGAATGTAAAATGAGCATCCAGCCAACAATATTTATATTTGATAACTCTAACTAGAAAAAGGAGAAGAAAAAAAGGAAGGAGGGAGCGAAGGATGGGGGAGGGAGGAAGGGAGGGAGGGGGGAGGGAAGGAAGGAAGGAAGGGAGGAAGGAAGGAAGGAAGGAAGGAAGGAAGGAAGGAAGGAAGGAGTATGTTTGTTGTGCAACCTTATATCTGTTTATTTGGGCCATAGTTAGATCAGAAGAGCTTATGCCAACTCACACACTGATAATATTGAAACAGTTCAAGATACAGATGTAGTGGAATTAAGGTGGCCTCATAGGCTAGAGTGAGCTGTAGCATGCTCTTAGGCAGCTGTTCCCCTAACCCCTCCTTTCTGTAGGCTGTAAGACTATTGTGTCCTCCTTTAAACAGGACAACTAACTGTATCAGTTTTATTTTACTCATATATATTTTTACTTAGCAAAAAAGTCTTCATGCAACAAGTCTCTATATTTAATTTTTATTTAAGGCCTCTCTGATTCTTGAACCTAAATTGTTGTCATGGCATCATCATAGCCCAAGAAAGGCAACAAGTTCAGGGTTGTGGTGTGTCGCTAAGGATCCCAGATCTCTGGAAAGCCCGTGCTCCTGCTCACAAAAGCTATTTATTTTTTAAGGAAGCTGCTTTTCAAGATAAAACAAGATTTCAAAATCAAAAGGTATTTGTAAGTGACATTAGTGAAACACTTTTGAGATGGGATGCTGAAGATACATGTGATTAACAACTCTGCAAAAAATTACAGCTGGATATTTCTCTTTAGCTGAACTGATAAGTCAGACCAATTATTGCATAACTTTTTCAAAGTACAAAATTTATAAACATTCATTCCAAGTGATATAGAGTAATGATATTAATAATATCAAGTATATATAGTGGTTCATAACTTTCAAAATGTCTTTTAAAAGCAATGCCTTGTTTGAATCATTTGACAAGAACGATAACCATGTATTTGTGGTACATGGCACATATGTTATTATGGCATGTTACTTGCTTTTTTTTGTTTAGTGAATTCTCCAACATCCCTTACAACTTGCAGCCAGGCACAAAGCCCATTGTCTGATACTTTCTTGAACTTTTCCTGACCTTATAATCCAAAAGTAAATTATGTTAATAGAAAATTTATCTTTAAACATCTTCATCACAATTTATAAACTTTATCTTAAAGCAAATTTATTGAGAAAAATAATCATATTTTTGATGGAAAATGACATTGAAATGTGAAAGGGTATTTATGAAAGAAGATCAAATGTCACTGAGAATTGACATTTAGTGAAATTTAGTTTAAATGGAAACTAACCTTATCAACACATATCAACAATATTTTTCTCAAACTTTTAAAAAATACTAACATATGGTTGAAAAAATTTTCCAAAATTATTTTTCAGTTCCTAATAGTTATTTGATAGTAATGGAGAGGCCATGTTTTTAGTTTAACCATGTTAAGTTTTCCTGTATCTTTATCTCCCTGCTTAGGAAAAGGAAGATGACAAATCAGACACCTCAAGTTCTCAGCAGCCTAAAAGCCCCCAAGGTCTGAGCGACACGGGATATTCTTCTGATGGAATATCAAGCTCACTTGGTGAAATTCCAAGTCTTATTCCAACTGATGAAAAGGATATTCTCAAGGGACTCAAAAAGGACTCTTTTTCACAAGAAAGCAGCCCTTCCAGCCCCTCAGATTTGGCTAAATTAGAAAGTACAGTCCTATCTATTTTGGAAGCTCAAGCAAGTACACTTGTTGATGAAAAGTCAGAAAAGAAAACACAACCCCATGAAGTTTCTCCTGAGCAGCCTAAAGACCAACAGAAAACTCAGAGTGTGTCTGAAACCTTGGAAATTACTATTTCAGAAGAGGGGATCAAAGAAAGTCAAGAAGAAAGGAAAGACACTTTTAAAAAAGATACCCAGCAAGATATTCCTTCCAGCAAGGACCATAAAGAAAAGTCTGAGTTTGTTGATGACATAACTACTAGAAGAGAGCATTATGATTCAGTTGAAGAGAGTAGTGAAAGTGAAAACTCACCTGTTCCACAAAGAAAACGAAAAACTAGTGTTGGCTCATCAAGCAGTGATGAGTATAAACAGGAAGACAGCCAAGGATCAGGGGAAGAGGAGGACTTCATTCGAAAACAAATCATAGAAATGAGTGCTGATGAAGATGCTTCAGGTTCTGAAGATGATGAGTTCATCAGGAACCAGCTCAAAGAGATTAGTAGTAGTACTGAGAGCCAGAAGAGGGAAGAAACCAAGGGAAAAGGCAAAATAACAGCAGGGAAACACAGACGACTGACTCGAAAAAGTAGCACAAGCATTGATGATGATGTAGGAAGACGTCACTCATGGCATGATGAAGACGATGAAGCATTTGATGAAAGTCCTGAACTTAAATACAGAGAAACTAAAAGTCAGGAAAGTGAAGAACTTGTAGTTGCTGGAGGAGGAGGGCTACGCCGATTTAAAACAATTGAGCTCAACAGTACAATAACAGATAAATATTCTGCAGAGTCATCACAGAAAAAAACAAGTTTGTATTTTGAGGAAGAGCCAGAATTAGAAATGGAAAGCCTGACAGACTCACCTGAAGATAGGTCAAGGGGAGAGGGGTCTTCGAGTCTGCATGCTTCCAGCTTCACTCCTGGTACATCCCCTACATCAGTATCATCACTTGATGAGGACAGTGACAGTAGCCCGAGTCACAAAAAAGGAGAGAGCAAACAGCAACGCAAAGCTCGGCACAGATCACATGGCCCTCTTTTGCCTACTATTGAAGATTCTTCAGAGGAAGAAGAATTGAGAGAAGAAGAAGAATTATTAAAGGAGCAAGAAAAGCAGAGGGAAATAGAACAGCAACAAAGAAAGAGTTCTAGTAAAAAATCGAAGAAAGACAAAGACGAACTTCGAGCTCAGAGAAGAAGGGAAAGGCCAAAGACACCACCTAGTAATCTCTCTCCCATTGAAGATGCATCTCCAACAGAAGAGTTACGTCAGGCTGCAGAAATGGAGGAGCTCCATAGATCTTCTTGTTCTGAATATTCACCTAGCATAGAATCAGACCCAGAAGGTTTTGAAATAAGCCCGGAAAAAATAATAGAAGTACAAAAAGTTTATAAATTGCCCACAGCTGTGTCATTATACTCACCAACAGATGAGCAATCTATTATGCAGAAAGAAGGTAGCCAAAAGGCGTTAAAAAGTGCTGAGGAGATGTATGAAGAAATGATGCATAAAACACACAAATACAAAGCTTTTCCAGCTGCAAATGAACGAGATGAAGTGTTTGAAAAAGAGCCTTTGTATGGTGGAATGCTAATAGAGGATTATATTTATGAATCTTTAGTAGAAGACACGTACAATGGATCTGTAGATGGCAGCCTGCTAACAAGGCAAGAAGAAGAAAATGGATTTATGCAGCAGAGAGGAAGAGAGCAAAAGATAAGACTTTCAGAACAAATTTATGAAGATCCTATGCAGAAAATTACAGACCTCCAGAAAGAGTTTTATGAGTTAGAAAGCTTACATTCTGTTGTGCCTCAGGAAGATATTGTTTCAAGCTCTTTTATCATCCCAGAAAGCCATGAGATAGTGGACCTGGGTACTATGGTAACTTCTACAGGAGAAGAAAAGAAACTACTAGATGCTGATGCTGCCTATGAGGAACTTATGAAGAGGCAACAGATGCAGTTAACACCTGGATCTAGCCCAACCCAGGCCCCCATCGGTGAGGATATGACAGAGTCCACCATGGACTTTGACAGAATGCCTGATGCATCTTTGACATCAAGTGTTCTCTCAGGAGCATCTCTTACAGATTCGACCAGCAGTGCAACACTGTCTATCCCAGATGTTAAAATAACCCAACATTTTTCAACAGAAGAAATTGAGGATGAATATGTAACCGATTATACAAGAGAAATTCAAGAGATAATTGCCCATGAATCGCTGATTTTGACCTACTCGGAGCCTTCAGAAAGTGCTACATCTGTCCCACCCTCTGACACACCTTCTCTCACATCATCTGTTTCCTCGGTCTGTACCACAGATAGCTCTTCACCCATTACTACCCTGGATAGCATAACCACAGTTTATACAGAACCAGTGGACATGATAACTAAATTTGAGGATTCTGAGGAAATTTCTTCATCAACTTATTTTCCAGGCAGCATTATAGACTACCCGGAAGAAATAAGTGTATCTTTAGATCGGACTACCATATCAGATGGTAGAGCTAGTGCTGATCATATTATTTCCTTATCCGATATGGCATCTTCTATCATAGAATCTGTAGCACCTAAACCTGAAGGGCCAGTTGCTGACACTATTTCTACTGACTTATCTATAGCTGAAAAGGACCCAGTGAAGAGCGCCAAGAAGGAAACTGGGAATGGAATCATTCTGGAAGTTTTGGAAGCTTACAGAGATAAAAAGGAGTTGGAGGCCGAACTAACAAAAAGTAGCTTCTCTGAAACTGTGTTTGATCACCCACCTTCTTCTGTAATAATCCTTCCAATGAAAGAGCAGCTTTCAACTACGTACTTTACATCTGGAGAGACCTTTGGTCAGGAAAAACCTGTGTCTCAGTTACAATCTGGCAGTCCTTCTGTTTCCTCTCTTCCAACTAAACCTCGCCCATTCTTTAGAAGTTCTTCGTTGGACATATCAGCTCAACCTCCTCCCCCTCCTCCCCCTCCCCCTCCTCCTCCTCCTCCACCACCGCCACCTCCTCCCCCACCACTTCCTCCACCAACTTCACCTAAACCAACTATTCTTCCTAAAAAAAAGTTAACAGTTACAGCTCCAGTGACTACAGCTACACCTCTGTTTGATGCTGTTACTACTGTAGAGACCACAGCTGTTCTGAAAAGTAGTGGATTACCTGTTACAAGAATATGTACCACCGCACCTCCTCCTGTTCCTCCTAAGCCATCTTCAATTCCATCTGGACTTGTATTTACCCACAGGCCTGAGCCAAGCAAACCTCCAATCGCCCCCAAACCAGTGATTCCTCAGATTCCAGCAACTACACAAAAACCAACAGATATACACCCCAAACCAACAGGCCTATCTTTAACTTCAAGTATGACCTTAAATTTAGTGACTTCAGCAGATTATAAATTGCCTTCCCCTACCTCCCCACTTTCCCCACACTCCAACAAGTCCTCACCAAGATTTTCCAAATCCCTCACGGAAACTTATGTAGTTATTACATTGCCATCTGAACCTGGGACTCCGACAGATGCTTCTGCTAGTCAAGCAATTACCAGTTGGCCCTTGGGATCACCCTCCAAAGATCTGGTTTCTGTTGAACCTGTGTTTTCTGTAATTCCTCCTATGACAGCTGTAGAAGTTCCAAGTTCATCAGAACAGACCTTCTATATCTCTGGAGCTTTACAGACATTTTCTCCTACCCCTGTCACAGCACCCTCTTCATTTCAAGCAACTGCCATGTCAGTTACACAGTTTGTCACTACTGAAGTTTCCAAGACTGAGGTTTCAGCAACCGGAAGTACAGCTCCTAGTGTTGGTCTCAGCAGCATTTCCATAACAATTCCTCCAGAGCCTCTTGCTCTAGATAACCTACATTTAGAGAAGCCTCAGTATCAAGAAGATGGAAAATTGCAACTTGTTGGTGATGTAATTGATTTGCGTACAGTACCAAAGGTAGAAGTTGAAACAACTGATAAATGTATTGATCTTTCTGCTTCTACAATGGATGTGAAAAGGCAGATCACAACAAATGAAGTTTATGGGAAACAAATTAGTGCTGTCCAACCCTCTATTATAAATCTTAGTGTAACATCATCAATAGTGACTCCTGTATCTCTGCCCACTGAGACAGTGACCTTTGTCACATGCACAGCTAGTGCAAGTTACACTACAGGCACAGAAAGCCTAGTGGGTGTAGAACGTGCAATGACAACACCACTCCAGCTTACAACATCAAAGCATGCTGAGCCCCCATACAGGATACCAAGTGACCAGGTCTTTCCTATAGCTAGGGAAGAAGCGCCGATAAACTTATCTCTAGGTACTCCAGCACATGCAATGACATTGGCTGTTACAAAACCTGTCACTGCGCCTCCTGTTGGTGTCACAAATGGATGGACTGATAGCACCATATCCCAGGGGATCACTGATGGGGAAGTAGTGGATCTCAGTACAACCAAGTCTCATAGAACAGTCGTAACAATGGATGAGTCTACTTCAAGTGTGATGACCAAAATAATAGAAGATGATGAAAAACCCGTTGACTTAACAGCAGGGAGAAGAGCTGTGTGCTGTGATGTGGTTTATAAATTACCGTTTGGAAGGAGCTGCACAGCACAGCAGCCTGCAACTACTCTTCCTGAGGATCGTTTTGGTTATAGGGATGACCACTATCAGTATGATCGATCAGGGCCATATGGTTATAGAGGGATTGGGGGAATGAAGCCTTCCATGTCTGACACAAATTTAGCAGAAGCTGGACATTTTTTCTATAAAAGTAAGAATGCTTTTGATTATTCTGAAGGAACTGACACAGCAGTAGATCTGACTTCAGGGAGAGTTACTACAGGTCAGTATGATGTGGCAGCAGACCTTTCCTTGAAATATAATTATGGTGTTCCTCATCTCATTTCAGGATGAAAATGTGGTTCCTTTTCCAGTTTTGTTACTTTTTCTCTTTCTTTGGATGTTTTAGCAGCATATTTTGGAGTACATGTGCGCTTTTGTTCCTTCATGTTAAAAAAAAATTTGTTCTGCTCAAAATCACCTGCATGTGCCTGCATGTTCAACATTGCTTTCATTCCGCATCTAATTAGGTTAACCTGTGGATTTGCATGCAGTCTCATTCATTATGTTCATCAAGATGAGAGGGTTTTCAAACTCAAAAAGCAGCATTCATTCTGGGAACTGGACTATAACTCTGCCCTGTATTTCAGGTGAGGTAATGGATTATTCAAGCAAGACTACAGGTCCATATCCAGAAACACGACAAGTCATTTCAGGAGTTGGGATTAGTACCCCACAGTATTCCACAGCAAGAATGACACCACCGCCAGGACCCCAGTATTGTGTGGGGAGTGTTTTGAGGTCATCTAATGGTGTTGTCTATTCTTCAGTAGCAACTCCGACACCCTCTACCTTTGCTATCACCACACAACCCGGCTCCATTTTCAGCACCACAGTGAGGGATTTGTCTGGTATTCATACAACTGATGCAGTGACTTCATTACCTGCCCTGCACCATAGCCAGCCAATGCCTAGATCGTATTTTATAACAACAGGTGCATCTGAAACGGACATTGCAGTAACTGGTATTGATATCAGTGCCAGCTTGCAAACTATTACTATGGAGTCTCTTACTGCTGAGACAATAGACTCTGTTCCCACTTTAACCACAGCATCTGAAGTGTTTCCTGAAGTGGTGGGAGATGAAAGTGCTCTTTTGATTGTCCCTGAAGAAGATAAACAACAGCAGCAGCTAGACTTGGAGCGTGAGCTCCTGGAGCTGGAGAAAATAAAGCAACAGCGCTTTGCTGAGGAATTGGAGTGGGAACGTCAGGAAATTCAAAGATTCCGAGAACAAGAAAAGATCATGGTTCAGAAAAAGTTGGAGGAGCTGCAATCTATGAAGCAACACCTTCTCTATCAGCAAGAAGAAGAGCGGCAAGCCCAGTTCATGATGAGGCAGGAGACGTTAGCTCAGCAACAGTTACAGCTTGAGCAGATCCAACAGCTGCAACAACAGCTTCACCAGCAGCTGGAGGAGCAAAAGATTCGGCAGATCTACCAGTATAACTATGACCCTTCTGGAACTGCTTCTCCACAAACCACTACAGAGCAGGCAATTTTGGAAGGTCAGTATGCTGCCCCAGAAGGCAGTCAGTTTTGGGCAACTGAAGATGCAACCACTACAGCTTCAGCTGTTGTGGCAATTGAAATACCACAAAGCCAAGGATGGTACACCGTTCAGTCTGATGGTGTTACTCAGTACATTGCCCCACCTGGTATCCTGAGCACTGTTTCAGAAATACCTCTAACAGATGTTGTTGTAAAAGAGGAAAAACAGCCCAAAAAGAGAAGTTCTGGAGCTAAAGTCCGAGGACAGTATGATGAAATGGGAGAAAATATGGCAGATGATCCCCGAAGTTTTAAAAAGATAGTGGACAGTGGTGTACAAACGGATGACGAAGATGCCACAGATCGGAGCTATGTGAGTAGGAGAAGGAGAACTAAAAAGAGTGTGGATACAAGCGTCCAAACTGATGATGAAGATCAGGATGAGTGGGATGTGCCTACTAGATCAAGGAGGAAAGCTCGTGTAGGGAAATATGGTGACAGCATGGCAGAGGCTGACAAGACCAAACCCCTTTCCAAAGTCTCCAGCATAGCAGTTCAAACGGTAGCAGAGATATCTGTGCAAACTGAACCAGTTGGAACCATAAGAACACCCTCCATACGGGCACGAGTGGATGCCAAGGTAGAAATAATTAAACACATTTCAGCACCTGAAAAGACTTACAAAGGGGGCAGTTTAGGATGTCAAACAGAAGCAGATTCAGACACACAAAGTCCTCAATACCTGAGTGCCACATCTCCACCCAAAGACAAGAAACGCCCAACACCTTTAGAGATTGGTTATTCATCTCACCTCCGGGCAGATTCCACAGTACAGCTGGCTCCTTCCCCACCCAAATCCCCCAAAGTCCTTTATTCACCCATCTCACCACTTTCACCAGGCAAAGCCTTAGAATCAGCCTTTGTACCTTATGAAAAACCCCTCCCTGATGATATAAGTCCACAGAAAGTACTGCATCCAGATATGGCTAAAGTTCCCCCAGCAAGTCCTAAGGCAGCCAAGATGATGCAGCGTTCTATGTCTGACCCCAAGCCTCTGAGTCCAACAGCAGACGAAAGTTCCAGGGCTCCTTTTCAGTATACCGAGGGCTATACGGTAAGAGTGATTCTTTTCAGTTGGAAGGCAATGGATGAGTTGTTAATCATGTGTTTTCAGACTTTTAGGAGGCAATCAGGCTCCTGGTACCTTAGAAACCTAATACTAGATTAGAGTGAAGATTATTGCCTTAGAAATTTACACTATGTATGTGTGTGTGTGCGTGTGTGTGTGTGGAAAACCATACATTCCTTAAAAATACCAAAGAAAGAAAACATTATGTGAAGAAAATGATTTTATTATTTTAAGACAATGAAATCGAAAGTCTTATTCTTATATCAAAATCTCCCAAATGTCAACGTAACTGTGATTTCAGTAAACATAATATTCATTTTCAGGCATTATAGGAAACATTAAACAGATAATGCAAACGGTGACTATAAATTTAGACCATGGATATTTAGTGGGAGAGATCATCTTGTCAGTATCCTCTTCCTCCAGCCAGAATGTTTTCATTAAAAGGCTTGGAACACTTACTGGTCAAAAGAGAACATTTCTGAGGCAGACAGATAAAAGTGTAATATAATCATCATAGTTCATCCATGCTTATTTTATTTCTGGCAACTTTATTAATCTAAACTCAGGTAAACCTTAGTCCTAGTGCTCACAGAAGCGAAAATAATTTTTCATGTTTCTTTGCATAATATAAATTAATTATTTTCAAATATATAGGTATGCTTCAAGGGGAAAAGAACATATACAGATGTATCTGTGAAGATCTGTATAACAGAGAATAAGAAATGTTGATAATCAGATATAAACCAGATATTTCCTACTTAAGAAAATCTAATATACATAACTATCCAGAAAGTGATTGACAGACGTAATAGCTCAATTTAGAACAAGACTTCTGTTCAAATTAGAAGTTCCCCTAATGCATGATTACTGAGCTCTAGGTTTTGAACCCTGAAGCTTCTAAGTAGGTTTTTCTGAGACAGTGTTACATTTCCACTGACCCATATGTGTTAAACACTGGCTGTGGGCTGAAAAATATGTCATGATATATGACTGTAAGTCTACTCGTAGGTATATAGCCATCAATGGTCATAATAGTAAATTATAAATTTATGTTTGTTTTCTAGTTTTCTAGTAGAATTGTATTATTACATATTTACATAAGCTAAAAGTAAAGCTGTTTTCACGTCAAGGGGAGAGATAATAACTATAGAATCAGGAAACCTCTGGTGTATTGAGATTTCATCCAGTATACAGAGAATTATTTCATGCGTAGTGTTGTTTCCAGAATTTAATCTATTAATATTGTTGAAAAGTGATTTTTAAGTTAGTTATAATATATAGGGTTTTTTTTATAAGTTTGTTCTAGAAATTCACTTAAAGAGTTATGTGAACAACTTTGAAATATGATTTTTGGCAGTATTTTCAAAGCAATAGTGAAGACTTCCATTACTAGAAAGAACAGGCTTTCCAGGTGGAATATTTACTATTTACATAATATGTATCCCTGTACCCTTAATTCAGATGAACTCAGCTAACAAAGAGTCTCAAGTTATCAATATTTTTTTCCTCACAAAGTATGCACTTTGGATTTGGAAATGTATCCATTTGGAAATTGATACAATGGGTTGTAAAGGTTGTATTACGTGTCAGCAATATTGATAAGCTAATCATAAAGGAAGTTGAGTAGAATTAGCAAATAATACCCAGAATCTGAAAAACCCTAGGTGTTCTGAGCCTCAAAGCACAATTCAGTGGTTCTTTTTCCAGTTGGTCAAGTTAAATCCATACTTTAATATGGAATAGTACAAATTCAAAGGTATTGTCTTATTACATGCACAGGTAGATCATTTTATACACAGGCAGTGTTTTTAACACTCTAGAGACTATGAGTCTAAGATGTGAATTTTATAATTTCTAGGCAAATGTCTAGACATACTTTGAGCCTATTTTAAAGTAAATAAATTTCTTAATTATAAGTGTGAATTACTAAGTATTAACTATACTGAAAAAAATAATTTTCTTAGGGATATTCGTAGTAATGTGAATTGAAGAAGGCTAGCTCAGTAGTTTACAGGTTGTTAATTTTCACAGACCAGTAAGATTGAAAAAACTTACACCACTCAGTAGGCACTGAAACAACACTGTGACACATATAATACAGGTTAAAAGATAAGTTTTATACTCTATCAGATTCTGAATCAATCTGTCCTCCTCCTGAAAGTGTCAGGAGAGGTTGCAAAGAAGAGGTCTGAGTCATGAAGATTGAGACCTCTGCTGGACCATGAAGAGAAAAATGGAGGTGATTGTAACTAGAGGGAATAAATGGACAAAGTTTCAGATTGATGAAAAGACATAAAGCAAAGAGAAGGAGAAAAGGGTTTACTGTAAATACAACCAGAAAGTCGAGTGAGGGCCAGGTCACTGGAGATCTAATCTGCTGCCTTACAAAGTTTGGATTTATTTCCTGTGGCTATGAGGATCATAGACCAGAGCCACCATCATCTTTCATTTAGAATGTGCACAGCCCTTGGACTCCTTCTACACTTGCCTTTACTACCATCAATTCTCTAAACAGCACCTAGAGTGATTTTTTAAAACGTACATCAGATTATGTTACTTGCAGCACAGTTTAAACTCTATTAAGATCTCATCAAATTCAAAATACATTAGAAATTTCTTAACAAGGCCACATGTGATATGATCTCTGCTTGTTTCATGACCTTATTGATCACTCTCCAAACTTTTCCCCCTCCTCACTCTGCTCCGACCATAGGCCGTGCTGTTCTTTGGATGTGCCAACCTCACCCCCACCCAGGGCACATGTCTGTGCCTTTCTCTCCCCAGATATATGTATGCTCACTCCTACATACAGATTTCTGTTCAAAGTGGTGGCATTACAGGCGTGAGCCACCGCACCTGGCCCAGTGTTACAATTTTTACTTCTGTTTCCTGTTTGTTTTTCTTCCATTTTGTACATAGACCACACTATACTTTCTCCATTTATTTCCATCTAGTATTTTTGCATGTATCTGTGGATTATCTCTAGCACCATGTTTATGAGGATTCCATAAACCAGAGCTCCAAAATGCCTTCCTTACACCCTTTCTCTTTCTTCTGCACAATGAGACTGATTCACATCCTAACCCAGATGATCAATAACTTCAATCAGAAGGTTACTGTAGCATGCTGTCTACAAAGTCGGGGAGAAAAGTGACATTATCTATTGCATAGCAATGTAAATTCAAAGAATTTTTTAGAGCTAGAAGTTACCTAATCTTGAAATAAATTTTCAAGATTTATCTCTCTTAAAGTATAACATTTTTCTTAGTGATTTTTCTATCAAAAAAATAGTTTGTATATTTCAGAAATATCACATTTTGGCAATGATAGGACACACTACTTTTTGTGCTAAAAAAAATAGCTACAATTAAAATGTTATCACCTCTATGTGGCCTTAAAAGTACATAGGCTATTAATCGTTGAAGCTATTTCGTCCCCTTAGACTTGTTTAATAATTTTAGAAAGTTTTTAGTAATAGGCAAACTTCTTATTAAAATCTTTTTGTTCTAGTGTTTAAGCCAGTATCCTATTGCAAAGCAGATGGCATTCATGAGCTGATTTTTACAAGAATATGCTTTGCTTCACTGATTGCTGTTTTGATAGCTATTTTTAAAATTTTTGGAATCCTTTAATGTCTATTTCTGAAAGTAATTTCCATAACCTAAATTGAGAGATTGTATTTCTGTCAATTCTTCCAGAGTATAATGATTTAAGAAATAATGGCTCTGGTGGCCAAATGTGATTTGAATAATAATAATATTTATTAGAGGTTATTTTTCATTATTCTCTTTGACAAGCAATATAAGAACGCAGTCTATTAAAACTAACTTTAAAACTGTTTTATAATGGTGGTATTTATGTATGTCAGAAAAAAATCATATATTAAAGATTAGCTTTGTAAATAATAGAAGCCTCATCTTTCTATAGCTCTTACCTTCTTCATTACTAATGTTTTTCTCATGATATTTCTTCTTGATTAAAATATTGCATTTTAACATCCAACTGTTTTAAAATTAAAATACAAAGTATTATTTTGAAGTACTTTTATTTATTTTTATTTTTTTTTTTTTTTTGAGACGGAGTCTCGCTCTGTCGCCCAGACTGGAGTGCAGTGGCGCGATCTCGGCTCACTGCAAGCTCCGCCTCCCGGGTTCACGCCATTCTCCTGCCTCAGCCTCCGGAGTAGCTGGGACTATAGGCGCACGCCACCACGCCCGGCTAATTTCTTTTTGTATTTTTAGTAGAGACGGGGTTTCACCGTGTTAGCCAGGATGGTCTCGATCTCCTGACCTCCTGATCCGCCCGCCTCGGCCTCCCAAAGGGCTGGGATTACAGGCTTGAGCCACTGCGCCCGGCCATGAAGTACTTTGAAAAATAAATGGCAGTAAAATAATTTATACTCATTAGTGATTGGAAAGATATTATTTAAAAAATCCATTAAAACAAATGTACACAGGTATACAAATGTCAGTGAGTCAAAACCAGAAAGCTTTTAAGTTGATCTCAGCAATTTAGTATTCAGTAGTTAACATTGCTATTCACTATAATAAATATCTAAGGATTAATTTCAAAAGAAAACTTAGAAGGAAAAGATTTTCAGAAAAAAATCAAATCATTTGTGTTATCCTTTCTAGAATCCAAATTTCAAAATAGGCAAATTAACACGATTCTGAGAAACAAATTATATTCTTATTGTTCATTAAAAGACTTCTGTCAGAAGCGTAAAACTAAATATTATGAAATGCCAGTTTAACATGGGAGGGTTCCAACTTAATAGAGCATTGAGTATTACTGAAACAGTTTAAAACCAGAGCACTATTTAACAGTAATTAGTTTCCTATGTATTTCAGCATATTTGTTTCTTAACAGTTCACTACCCTTTCTATTTCAAACATTGTGTACTTTATAATTGACTCAAGCAATGATGTGATCTCAGCTGATTGCAACCTCCGCCTCCCGGGTACAAATGATTCTCTTGCCTC